GGAACTAGGGATTTGGGGATCTAGGAATTTGGGGGCCTAGGAATTTGGTGGAACTAGGGATTTGGGGGACTCGGAATTTGATGGAACTAGGGATTTGGGGGTCTAGGAATTTGGTGGAACTAGGGATATGGGGGACTCGGAATTTGATGGAACTAGGGATTTGGGGGACTAGGAATTTGGTGGAACTAGGGATTTGGGGGATTCGGAATTTGATGGAACTAGGGATTGGGGGTTTAGGAATTTGGGGGACTAGGAATTTGGTGGAACTAGGGATTTGGGGGACTAGGAATTTGATGGAGTAGAGATTTGGTGGAACTAGGGATTTGAGAGTCTCGGAATTTGGGGGACTAGGAATTTAGTGGAACTAGGAATTTGGGAGACTAGGTATTTGGTGGAACGAGGGATTTGGGGGACTAGGGATTTGTGGGACTAGGGATCTGGTGGAACTAGGGATTTAGGGTCTAGAAATTTGGAGGCATAGGGATTTTGAGAACTAGGGATTTGGGAGTCTAGGAATTTGGATATCTACAAATTTAGGAATATAGGAATTTTGGGAACTAGGGATTTGAGGCTCTAGAAATTTGGAAATATAGAAATTTGGGGACCTACTAATTTTGCAGTCTAGGAATTTTTAACTCTACAAACTTGAAGACCTAAACCTTGATATCTAGGGAATTAACTGTCCAGGGACTTAACGATCCACAAAAAAAAAAAAATAAAGAAATTCCAACATTTAGTATTTGGAAGAATTGAAAGTTTCCAACTCGAGATGTGAAAATGTAAAAATCATGAATTTAGAAGTTCTAAAGTTTACACAGTGTTATCGAGGAAAAGTTGGATTGCACCCGAGTGTACGTTGGCGCACGATCTTAGATGAGCATAGGCGCCGCCTTTCGGAAATTCGACGTCGGTTCGTTAACCCCCTGTGACGGGGTTGGCGAATCGATCAGGCTTGCACCACTTTTCCGTTCTCTGGTTACGACGTCTTTGCTCGTCATGGAAGGCAATAGCGATGTAAAAAACATTTTGAAAAATGTAATACTTAAAGAGTCACTTAATTCTATTTCACATCATATTAATATAGTTACCATAAATATTACTGTGTGGTTAGATTCTGTGTGATTAGATATACAAATTGAGTTGATTTTGAATGTTTGAAACTAAAAAATGCATTCTGATAGAGAAGATATGATGCCAGAATGATGGAGCACTAGCGAGAAAGGTTTGCAGTGCGTTGCCCTCTAGCGGTCAATTCAGAAACTACAAACTACACAATAACTTTGTATCACAAATACTCACAAGTTTACAAGTTTACAATCATAAAGTTACTAACAATATCCTAATTTCTCCACTGCACAATATTTTTAACAAATATAATTCCCAAAATAAGACATAAAGAAGCAAAAACTGTCGCTCCGTAATAAATCTAAAAATATAAATGCATCGCCAAAATAGAAGCGTAAACGCTCAAATAATTTTCCCGTGGCGTTAAACGGAATTAGCCGCGAAATCAGCGATGAAAGGGCAAGACTTAACGCAGGGTACCCAACAAAACCGCTACGTCGATGGATCAAAGATGCGACAAGCACGCGTCCGTCTCGGAACGCTTTTAGCCGCGAAAGCTAGCGTGCGCCGCCATTAATTTACCGGACGATTTGGCCCGATTAATGCCCGCTCGCAAAATCCCGCGATTGTTCTCGCGGTCGAAAGGGGACAGGGATTTTCCACGGTGTCTCTTTGTCTCTTCGTCTGCCTCGTTCGTTACGCAATTAAAAAGCGACTCCCCTCCCTTTTGCCTGAGGAAACCGATTCACGGACCGTTTTAGAACGTACCGTTGTTTACGTCTTGTTGCCGCTACCTTCGCTCTTCAATGGCTCGCTGAGGAACAACTCAATCGCAGTCAATTAGCGTTCGAGTATCTCTGGAATTCGCTTTTTAATGGTGCGCTCTTCTTTTGTGGACGTTCAAGCAGCTTAGGACTCAAGCTTTTAGACGTCAAGGTTTAGAGACAGAGGAGTACTATTTTCAGATGATGATTCTTTAGGTGGATTCAATGGTGCAAGATCATGTGATGGGTAATGGGGTACCTGGTAATGGGAGTGGACTTGGGAGAAGGACTTGTAGAAAGTTTAGGACTTAGGAGGAACCTAGATATGATGCTTATGGAAAGAGTAGAACATAGGAGGAACCTATGAAGTTTGGAACCTGTGCAAAACCTAGGGGAGATAAGGTTAGATTAGGACATGAGATGAACTACTTATGGACGTAAGGCTTATGTGAAGTTTAGGACCTAGCCTAGGACTTGTACACATGGAAGAGTCCACATGGAGGACCTTACGACCTATGGAGAACTTAGGGACCTGGAGGGTGTTTAGGGTTTATGGATAGCTCTAGTATCTTTGTGAAGGTGACTGTGTCCAACTAAGTCTTCAGAGAGAGCCTAGGACCTACAGAGGACCTATAGACCTAAGGAGAGATTAGGCTAGACCTTAGGGACCTGGAGGATATTTAGGATTTATGGGTCGTTTTAAAGTCTATATGAAGGTGACTTGAACCTAAGGGTTTAGAGAGGGTCTAGGACCTACAGAGGATCTGGAGACCCAGGACCAGCTTAGGACCTATCCTAGGACCTAGAAGGTGTTTAGGACTTGAGGACATCAGAAGACGTTAGGAGCTTTGGTGAAATCTAAGGACCTGGAGGGTGCTTAGGACTTATGTGTAGCTTCAGAATCTATGTGAAAGTATCCATATGAAATTAAGGATTCCTAAAGAGCCTAGGACCTATCTAGTATCTGGGGACTTAAGGGAAGCCTATGGAGATCCTAGGACCTACCTAGTACCTGTGGACCTAAGGGGAGCCTATGGAGATCCTAGAGCCTACCTAGTACCTGGGGACCTAAGAGTAGCCTATGGAGATCCTATTACCTAAATCCATAAGTCCCTAAATCCATAACTCCAAAAGTGTCCACAAAGCACTTCCCTAAAAATCACCTAAACAAAATAGTATCCCAGAATCCTCAAACCGAACAAAGTGCAAATTTGCGCCATCTCGAAACATCTAAGAGAACAGAAGCAAATAGTACGGGTGTTTACCGGATGAAGGGGATGAGAAGGAAACGAGGAAAAGTGAGGAAAGACCGATAACGAGCGTCGAGCGAGTCGATCGATAGTAGCACGTTTCGAGAGGACTGGCTCTCTTCTTTCCGAACGCCTTATCTTCGTTTCTTCCGTTCGATCGGAGTCCCGTCTCTTCCCTCTGCCATTCTCTCGCTCTCGCGACGATAGTCGATGATGGATGCTCCTCCTCGAATGGCTCTTAGCATTTTTCAGGGGGACAGAGAGTGGAAATACGCCATTGAACTTTATTGCTGTTCGAGTGGAGGCTCCGTTCACTCGAGCTGGCTCGAGTCGGAAAGGGGTGAAAAGTGGGCTTTGGGAAATCGTTTGCCGATCTCGCATGCGAGCTTGAGATGTTGTCGGGCTTTTCGTCTATTATTCTCCTACCGCCTTTCTATTTGGATCTTGCATATTCATCGTGGAAATCAAACTTACATCGTCTTTTCTGTCATTCTCTTGTTGGTTTACTGAGAACTGCGGTCACAGTTGGTAACTTCTTATTAAGGGTGACTATCATGTGGATACAATTATAGTCTCTTTAGAATGACTATAGCTGTAATTGTAGGATGACTATAATTTCACTCTTGTGGCAAATGAGCGTTGAAGGTGACTATAATCATCATGGATGACTATAATTGTCGCAGGTGACTGTAATGTGACTAGGTGACTAGGTGACTATAACTGTCACATCCTGTCCAGGTGGACCTGAAATTTTTTACTAAAACTATCATGTACATACAATTATAATTCCTTCAGAATGACTGTAGCTATAATTGTAGGGTGACTATTCAACTCTTGTGGCAAATAATCATTGAAGGTGACTATAATAATCACAAGTGACTATAATCATCACCAGTGACTATAATGTGACTAGGTGACTGGGTGACTATAACCTTCATATCCAGTACAGGTGGCCATGAAATTGTTCACTGAGGGTGATTATCATGTAGGTACAATTATAGTCCCTTCAGACTGACTATAGCTATAATTGTGGGGTAACTATTCAACGCTTCTGGCAAATAATCATTGAAGGTGACTATAATAATCACAAGTAACTATAATCATCACCAGTGACTATAATGTGACTAGGTGACTGGGTGACTATAACCTTCACATCCAGTACAGGTGGCCATGAAATTGTTCACTGAGAGTGACTATCATGTAGGTACAATTATAGTCCCTTCAAAATGACTACAGCTATAATTGTAGGGTGACTATAATTCAACTCTTGTAGCATATGATTACTGAAGGTGACTATAACCATCATAGGTGATGAATTGATTGCTTCATACTTAATATAATTGTAGTCACATCCTGTCCAGGTGGACATGAAATGTTTCACTAAAGGTGACTGTCATGTAGATACAATTATAGTCCCTTCAGAATGATTACAGCTATAATTGTAGGGTGACTATAATTCAACTCTTGTAGCAAATGATTACCGAAGGTGACTATAACCATCGCAGGTGTTGAATTGATAGCTTCATACTTAATATAATTGTAGTCACATCCTGTCCAGGTGCACATGAAATGTTTCACTAAAGGTGACTATCATGTAGATACAATTATAGTCCCTTTGGAATGCCTATATCTATAATTGTAGGGTAACTATAATTCAACTTTTATAGCAAATGATTACCGAAGGTGACTATAACCATCACAGGTGTTGAATTGATAGCTTCATACTTAAGATAACTATAGTCACCTATGACTGAGCCATCACCGACTAAAGATGTCTATAGTTATCGATGATACACATACACATGATTTACACTTCAAGGTCACCCAAAAGCACTTCCATCCACATACTCGACACGAAATGTCCACTGTGAGTTAGAACATGTTTAACAAGCGTCTAACGAGCTGTGACGTCTGTTTCCAGTGTCCGGCACGACAAACAAGAAAGAGGAAGCGACGGCGGCGGTGGCCAATGTTGGCGTCACAGAAGAGACTTCCGGTGTCCTGGCCACGAGACCCAGAACTGGCAGCGATCCTGGAGGAGGTATAGACCTGTTGGCAGCGTTACAGCTGCACAATACGACCCGACAGGGTGTTACACAGGTGCCAGGCCTAGTTAGGTTAAAGCCAGCCTATTATCTTCAGGGTGAGTCCGTCAAAATATTTTATTCACGATATTATCACCTTTCAACTCACTTGAGGATTTGCCAGGTGTCGAGGCGCTGTTTAGAGTATCGTATGAAAAATTAAACTAACTGGGTCAACTTTAAAAGTTACACCTTAAATTTTATTACATTATTACGACCTTAAATTTCTTTTTTATGGAATTACATTTTTTTAGACTAACCCTTAAGCTTTGGGTAGTTTTGAAGGATATGACTGGTGTTACCCAAAGTTTGTTCTTACTAAAATATTTGTTTGTTATTAAAATTTGTAGAGTGCCATAGTTATGTGATTAAGAATCAAATTAAAAATTAAGGAATAATCAACCCCTTATTAGATCAACCCCTGAAAATTTAATAGACAGTCACTGCCATTTTTATTTTATCGTACTAAATTTTTTTAGACCAACTCTTAAACCTACTTGTGTGGTTTTAGGATTAATGTTAGAACCCAAAGTTTGGACCCAATACTCGTATCAGAGGGTGGTGAAACACGATGATAAATCATTTCGCACAATTTACACCCGAGCGATGCATGCAGATTGCACGGGGCAGTAAATTTCGTGACGAGCACAGAAACGAAAAGCACTTCAGTAGGGTTCTCTTAACCCGAATATAGCCTTATTTGCATATCGAAGAGGGTCGTTTCTAACGCGAGCTATCTTTCTCGACCGCTGTGACTGGTAATCATTGCTGGCAGTAAACTCGATTATTGCTTTTCGTAAATCACCGACCACTTCCTTCACTGTTTTTTCCCTGTATTAGGGCTTCGAATAGCATATGCTATAATCGAACGAAACATATTGGAATTGTAATGGCCCTCTGGGGAAACGATGAAGGGGATGAAAGTTTGGGGCATTCAATGACACGTGCAAATCCTTAAACACATTTCTATGTGTCGGAAAAATCACGGAACATTTTAAATAAAAAGAAGAGAGTTAGTTATTTTAGCAAAATTAATATTTTTTATTAAAAAAATTAGTTATTTCGCCAAAATTAATTTTTTTTATTAAAAACACATTAATGAGGTTAATCTTGAAACGAAGCTTTGATCAAATTAATCTACAAAGGAGGAATTTAATTTTTAGTGAAGTTTGCAATCAAGTCTAATTTTTCATCAAGTTTAATTTTTAATCAAGTTTGATTTTTCATTAAGTTTAATATTTAATCAATTTTGATTTTTAAAGAAGTCCTCAGCGAGAAAAAGTAATCTAATTTCAAGCAGAATTAGCTCACAAAGAAAATAACGATTGGCTGAGCAAGAAACTCGAATATCAATTCATAAATTCAAGGATTCGATAAAAACACTCAACAGAAGCAAAGTATTTTATCGACACAGTGTTTCGCTATCTGTTCCCTTTCCTTCCGAATGGATCCAATAAATCCGATTTTAATGGCTCTCGAAAGAGTCACTTCTGTTCAAAAAGCCGATACAAATAACGTTTCGTTGTTGGAAGCATGAAAGTGATCAACTAGAAAAACAATTGGTGCTTATCACGGGTACACGATGGTTACATAACGACCGATTAATCGATATTGTGAAAGGTCAGTTTTATAGACGGTCTCTATTGGTAGACCAGAGGGAATTCCCTCTATCGATTCTCCTCTCCAATTTCATATCTTCTGGGTTTTATATTTATTACAGGAAAACCTTTTTTTAATCACAGAAATATTGCATGAAGCTTCATAAGTTAAAATAGAGAACTTACAAAATAAAAATTATTTAATTATCACACTTTAATCAGTTTTAAGTCAAACAGAAATAAAAATGCTGTTCCATGGAAAAAAATAATTGTTGAGCCATTAAAAATAATGTACTAAACGTATCATCTGTAACTTTCTCTTTTAACAAATTAAAAATTTTGCACCCCCAAAAAATAAATTCAACAAGTCAAAAAAAAATGCTGCATCGCAAAAAAAATTATTGTTGAATGATTAAAAATTATCTACTAAACGTATCATTTGTAACTTTCTATTTTAACAAATTAAAAATTTTACATCCCCAAAAAAGATTCAACAAGTCAAAAAAAATTGTTGTGCCACAAAAAAAATTATTGCTGAATGATTTAAAATAATTTACTAAAAATATCATTTGTAACTTTCTCTTTTAACAAATTAAAAATTTTGCACCCCCCCAAAAAAAATTCGACAAGTCAAAAAAAATGCTGCATCACAAAAAAAAATTGTTGAATAATTAAAAAAAAAATTCAAGTCAAAAACAAATGGTTTCCCCCTAACAAAAATAATCTAATTCAACCACACCATCTATAAATAACCTTCCCATTTTAAGAAGCCAAAAAGAAGCAGAAATAATGCACCCCCTCCTCAAAAAAAGCAACACCCCTCCCATAAAAATATTCTAATTCAATTTGTAAATAAACTAAAACTCAACAAAAAAGTAGCCCTTGAAAGAAACGAAAAAACTGCAACAAAAGCAATAAAATAAAAATACCAGAATAGGGGTGTAAATAGAATGCAACGCGTAAAATAAAAAGTATTCGCGTATCCAATTTACGGGGTAGTTTCAACCCCCGTAAACGCTGCACCCTACCGTGTTCCGCTTTCACGCAGTCGATCGACGAGAAACGGAGGGTGGGTGGGGGTTGCAAAAGCGTGGGCGACGGTGCAACGTCCGCGAAAAGCGACGAGAATGGGGGTGGTTGGCCCAAGGGTGACCGTCAGCAGGGCTTTCCCCGAAAGAAATTTCAATTACCTAACCCAGACCACCCCTGCACACCCTCTGTCGATGGTTTCATGGAAGTAACCGAACATTCTCCATGGTTTTCAACCACCGAATACGCTCTTTATTTCTCGTTCGATCGTGCACCCCTTTCTTTCACTTTCAGTCCTTTGTTCGGGTTAGTCGTCGACTTTTTACGACTTCGAATTGTCTCTGATGTTTCGGGGAATTGTTTTTGGTGGTACAATAGAAATGGGTGTTTCTGTAAATTGCAGTTGTTGAAGTCGTTTGCGGGGGGTCGTTGAGGGTTGATCTGTTAATGACTTTATTTGGCGAATACTGTTTCTTCATGCTGGAATAATTATGTTAATTTACATAAAATTAACAAGATTATGGTGTTTTAAATGATTAGTGGATTTTGTATTAGTTTTGATGGCAGAGGGTTGATTTACAAAATTAAAAACGTACGTCAATTTTTGTCAGAGTTCATAAATTTATTGAATAGATACAAATAATTATACACAGCACTTTTGCATGACACTGTTACTTTAAGGGATGAAATCACCCTCCAATAAAACCACCCCTTTAAGCTATAATAATTAACAAACATTTATAAAATAACTTAAAAGTACAACATCAAAGTCCTACACTTTCAAATCTACATTCCATCAAAAAAATCTATATTTAAATTATAAAAAAACATTAACAATAAAATTTCATTAAAACCTAAACAAATAATCTGTCATCCCCAAAAGAAAAACCGTAATAACACACCCTCAAAATTGATGTATCTCTGAAAGAGATCCCCCAAAGATAACACCCTTTACGCATCCTCAAAAGGAAACATTCCGAACGTTTATCCCGCAGTAAGGGTGGTTCCCAGAACTCACGGACCGATGATCAAAGAGAAAAACTTCAGCATCCGCCGTTAATTCACCATCTGCGAAGACGGTCGGCCAGAAAGTTATTCGTTTTGGAAATAAACAGCGCACAGATGAAATCAACCGACCCCTGAAGGGTGGACGAAGACAAGGGTCACCCAATTCGATGTCTCCCCATTCTGCTACAAAGGGGATCTTGTTTTCCATGTTTAGAGAAAACTCTGCACACGTGTCCAATACACACGTTATATCTGTGTAGTCCTCTTTTGTTCGAGGCTTACAATGGCTACATCGCCCACTGGTTCAATTTCATAAACTGAATTTCGTGTATGATACCAGGGGCAATTCTTATTATTGATGATACGTGGTAGGGAAAGTAAAATACAGAGTAATTTATATGGGTGAGGGAAATAGGAATGATGTGTTGGGATTTGACAATTTTATTTATTAATTTTGAGATGATGGTATTATGCAAGAGGAATACAACGCATAGGAAGGTGGTGAATGAGAGATAGGATGCGTGGGAATAGAATGCATAACTGTATCTCATATGTGAGAGAACACTCGTGGGGATATAGCGCGTGAAGAATACTATGCGTGAGGATATAGCACATGAGGGACCCTATGCGTGGAGATATAGCGCGTGAGGAATCCCATGCGTGAGAAATACTATGCGTGGGGATACAGCGCGTGAGGGACCCTACGCGTTGGGATACGGCGCGTGGGAGACTCCATGCGTGGGGATACGGTGCGTGGGAGACTCCATGCGTGGGGGTACAGCGCGCGTGGGACTCCATGCGTGGGGATACAGCAATCTATATTTAAATTATAAAAAAACATTAACAATAAAATTTCATTAAAACCTAAACAAATAATCTGTCATCCCCAAAAGAAAAACCGTAATAACACACCCTCAAAATTGATGTATCTCTGAAAGAGATCCCCCAAAGATAACACCCTTTACGCATCCTCAAAAGGAAACATTCCGAACGTTTATCCCGCAGTAAGGGTGGTTCCCAGAACTCACGGACCGATGATCAAAGAGAAAAACTTCAGCATCCGCCGTTAATTCACCATCTGCGAAGACGGTCGGCCAGAAAGTTATTCGTTTTGGAAATAAACAGCGCACAGATGAAATCAACCGACCCCTGAAGGGTGGACGAAGACAAGGGTCACCCAATTCGATGTCTCCCCATTCTGCTACAAAGGGGATCTTGTTTTCCATGTTTAGAGAAAACTCTGCACACGTGTCCAATACACACGTTATATCTGTGTAGTCCTCTTTTGTTCGAGGCTTACAATGGCTACATCGCCCACTGGTTCAATTTCATAAACTGAATTTCGTGTATGATACCAGGGGCAATTCTTATTATTGATGATACGTGGTAGGGAAAGTAAAATACAGAGTAATTTATATGGGTGAGGGAAATAGGAATGATGTGTTGGGATTTGACAATTTTATTTATTAATTTTGAGATGATGGTATTATGCAAGAGGAATACAACGCATAGGAAGGTGGTGAATGAGAGATAGGATGCGTGGGAATAGAATGCATAACTGTATCTCATATGTGAGAGAACACTCGTGGGGATATAGCGCGTGAAGAATACTATGCGTGAGGATATAGCACATGAGGGACCCTATGCGTGGAGATATAGCGCGTGAGGAATCCCATGCGTGAGAAATACTATGCGTGGGGATACAGCGCGTGAGGGACCCTACGCGTTGGGATACGGCGCGTGGGAGACTCCATGCGTGGGGATACGGTGCGTGGGAGACTCCATGCGTGGGGGTACAGCGCGCGTGGGACTCCATGCGTGGGGATACAGCGCGTGTGGGGTCCCACGCGTGGGGGTACAGCGCGTGTGGCGTCCTACGCGTGGGGATACGGCGCTTCAGGGGTCCTACGCGTGGGGGTATGGTGCGCGTGGGACTCTGCGCGTGGGGATACGGTGCGCGAGGGACCCTGCGCGTGGGGATACGGTGCGCGAGGGACCCTGCGCGTGGGGATACGGTGCGCGAGGGACCCTGCGCGTGGCGATACAACGCGTGGGGGATACGGTGCGCGTGGGGATACGGCGCGTGGGGACTCCTACGCGTGGGGATACAGCGTGTGGGGACTCCTACGCGTGGGGATACAGCGCATGAGGGACTGCACGCGTGGAAATATAGCGCGTAGCGATCTCTAACGCGCAGTAATCTAACGCGTAGCAATCTCTAATGCGTAGTAATCTAACGCGTAGTATTCTAACGTATGGCAATCCATCGCGTAGTAATCTAACGCGTGACTATCTATCGCTTAGTACCCTAACGCGTAGTAATCTACCTTGTAGTGATCCTTATCTCGCACTAATCTCCAACGCACCAATAATCCACCACATAGTGACCACCAACATACAACGTTATAACGTCCAGCAAGTTAACGCGTACCCACATAACATGCGCTCCTACACCACGTGCCCATACGTCTCCCCCACCCCAAAAAACGTAAAACGCGAACATCCTCTGCCCCCGTAATTCGACACCCTATGCATCCAACAAACCGTGCACCATTAGGTCGCATCAAACACGGGCGATAAAGTTTCTCCAGGGTATCATAACGCCCCGCAACCGATCCTCCGATCAACCACACGCGAAATTAATTCCCGCGACTAGTCAGCGAACCGTATGATCCTGTGCAACTGCAGCCAAGGACAAAAACGTTGTTGACCGAGGCGCAAGGTGCACACGTGTTCTTCGGTCAGGCTTCTTTTCGCGAGCCTCGAGTTTCAGACACGCCGCGGGCTTAATAAAGTAACTGGACACCATGGAGGGGTCCGAAGCTCGAGGACTATCGAACGCGTTCAACGTCAATTATCCACGCTTCGTTAGAACGTAATGGACGAAATGGAACGACTGTGCGTAATCGTTCTTTGAGTGCTTCATGTATCGAAACGTTGTCAATGATGGGGTGGATGGGCACTTTTCTTGCAGGTGTCGGGGCGGTTCGAGAGATCTGTGGTTGATGGATGTTTAATGAGAGGTGATTTAGGTTAGCCTGCTCTTGAGGTTAGGGGAATCGTTTGGAGCAATGGGGTGACAGCTTCTTTAGGATATATAGTTAGGATACATGAAAATTTCACAATTTTTTAACTCATAGGTTCTCAAATTTTTTGAATTTTGAAGTCTAGGTCCTAGGTCCTCTTCTGGATTTATACTCTAAAATTTTTAAATCATCTCCAAATTGTCAGATAAACTATCTTAGTCAGATTTCTAAAAATTTCTGAAGATCAATGACTGAGATCTTCTTCTATGGTTGTCACATTTTTTCTAGAGTAACCAGACTTGTTCTTGACTGACTATATACTGTATATTAACTATGTTTATACTACATAGACTAGGATAGGTTTCTTCTTTGTTACTAATTTATTTTTAAGACAAGATTATCCACGTCTCTATTTTAGCAAAACTATACAGAGTTTCACAGACATATCCATTAAATTTAGATGTCTATTAGAGCATCAGACCACGTGTCACATTCTAACCTCATCACGAAGAACCAGATTATACCATTTGCAGTAATCTAATGTTTTCGATCGTTCAAAAGGAAATTGTATTCGTGTCAAACGATATAAAGATACTATCAGAATTTCATGGAATTGTCAGGAACGTAATAGAGCCAGAAACTGTGGCCAATCGAATCTCCATGTGGCTGCGATTACGTAACGGTGCGAGCACGAACCGTGAATCGGACAAATCGATGCGACCCAGCAAAAATTTCGGCTGACCTACATCCACCGACTGTTTTGTCGTCCGAACATTGTTCTCAAACTTCTGCTATTTCATTGAACTTCGATGATTTATCAAAAATTCACTTATGTGAATAAATACATTTATTTAAATAAAGTCTTTGAGTGCATTTATTTTAATAATTTTGTTAATAAAAGTCTCTTTAAATGTTTATTAAAAAATACTTATAAGGTCCTGTGAGTGCTGAGAGGATCCTTAAATTGTTATTAAATTTTTACCCTCCAAGTGTCAAATATTTCAAAATTGAAGTAAAAGAGAAATAATTTGAACAATCATCATCATCATATAGCAAATGTTACTTTGCAGTACCCTGAAGAGTGACCTATAAAATCTCGCACAAATATAAAAATCTATTTCAGTACAAATTTTCCCAGTTGAATTTTAAGAATAATTAATAATTTAATTTTAAGTATAACATTGCTAAAGAAACAATGGTTGTAATAATTGATAAAAGAGTACTATAACGTAATAAAAAATGACAATGTCGGAGGAATGATCGAGTTTTACTACTTCAGGCGAGGAGAGGGAGCTGCGACTGAACGAGGCGAGCTTCGAACGAGCGGCCACGCTACTCCGGCGGGTTCCGGAATTCACTATAGCAGCCGCTTTGCGACAAGAGGAGGCCAATTCCGGGACGATCGTCGCCTTTTCACATGGGAACAATAGGTATGGACCACGTGTAATTTCATTCCTCGCACGTTTTCGCTCGGAATTCGTGCGATGAACAACACCAGGCCGCCGGGAAACACGCGTCGATGGAATTTCCTGATAAATTCCTCGCGCCTTTTGTTATTTCCATGGTGGAACGGTGGGGCGCGAAAAGTAACAGCATTCTGCGAATTTGGGATTCTGGGAGGACGTTGAAATTGTGGAACTTTTGGGATCTGAGGACGGTGGAATTTTGGGGATTTTGGGGTGGATGGGGGAATTTTTGGGATTTTGGGGTGGATGGGGGAATTTTTGGGAGTTTGAGGATTTGGAGATTTGGGATTTGGGAGAGGGAGGATTTTAGGAGTTTTGGATTATAGGATTGTGGGATTTGGGGAGGAATAGAATTTTGGGACTTTAGGATTCTAGGAATTTGGGATTTGGGGAGGAATAGAATTTTGGGACTTTAGGACTCTAGGATTGTGGGATTTGGGAAAGGTAGAATTTTGGGACTTTTGGGCCCTATAATTGTGGGATTTTAGAAAGGTAGGAATTGGGGACTTTAGAAGTTTGAAATTGTGGGATTTGAGAAAGGTAGAACTTGGGAACTTTAGGACGCTACAATTGTAGGATTTTGGGAAGGTGGAATTTTGGGACTTTAGGGCCTTACAATTATGGAATTTTAGAAAGGTAGGAATTTGGGACTTCAGGGCCCTACAATTGTGGGATTTGGGGAAGGCAGAATTTTGGAACTTTAAGATCTGATAATTATAGTATTTGGGGAAGGTAGAATTCTGGGACTTAGGACCCTACAATTGTGGGATTTGGGGAAGGTAGAATTTTGGGGCTTTATGGCCCTACAATTGCGGGATTTTGGGACCTTAGAAGTTTGAAATTGTGAGATTTGGGAAAGGTAGGATTTTGGGACTGTAGGACCCAAAAATTATGAAATTTTGGGACTTAAAAATGTTGAAATTATTGAATTCAGAAATTATAAAATTCTCAAACTGTAGAACTGTAAAAATACGATACCTTGGGTCCGTGAAACTTTATGATAGATTTGTGGTATTTGGCTTCAGTACTTTGAATGTGACTTTGGAACTTTAAGGCTTCAGGGTGAAATTCTAAGATCCTGACTCTCCCATCTTGACCTCTTCACCATCCTACAATTCTAACTCACCAAAATCACCAATAAAATTCCCCATCCAATTCCATCTCATCTCCTGCCCCTCAATCCTGAAACCTGCATCCCTCAATCCTGAACCCTGCATCCTCAATCCTGAACCCTGCATCCTCAATCCTGAACCCTGAATCCTCAATCCCGCGCCTAAACGTTTCCATAAAGGCGGTAAAAGCTTCTATTCACCGAACGTAATTACGATCGGGAAACGAATTACCGAAGGCTTGAAGGGAACGAAGTGAAAAAGGTAAGAAGGAAGTTACTGTGTCAATTGTTGAGCCGGGACGAAGGAGAACACTTAACCCCAAAGTAGTCGCACCCTCTGCTGGCACGTGAGTAGCGCAGTCTAGTCGTTTTGACCTGGCTGACACAAATTGGATGCATCCTCTATGTGTCCGCGTATTAGGCGGTAATTAACACGCTCTGCTGAGCAGAAACCACGGCCAGTTTAAGCGGAATTAAATGTTTATTTAGCACCGCTATCCGGAAGCGCTGGCATTTTCGAATGTACGGATTTACCTTATCGGTTCATGTGAATGTCAAACTGATTGGAAGTAATCGAAACGTAATTGAGAGCGAAGTTAATCCTTTGATCTGGATTGGACTTCTGAATGAGTGTTCTGAATATCTTCATTTTTGAAAATAATGACCCAGTTCGAAAGCCCTGAATGAAACGCCGAAAGCGTTCGGAGACACACAGTTCTAAATCGAGAGTTTGAATGACATAATTGGGATTTCTGTGAACGATCCGATAATCCTGCTCTGTATCAAGTTGGAGAGCGATGATCTACGTTAAGCTTAAAATGGATATCGCAAGCACGCAACCCACTCCCTACTGATTCAATCACGTAATCTATTTAATACTGTATACACGTTTCAATTAAGAGCTCGAAACCGGTTCTAATCGATCTACAAACGTTGCTCGTGCACCACAGTCTGTAACCGCGTTATTGAATTGCACGGTCTGTTAAGTTATTCGATTATGTAGTTATACGGGAACTCATGCAGTTAATTATCGAACCTATTATCGCTACATTGCGTATGTCTTGGATTTACTGCATTGGAACATTTATCGGGTGCGATTCATCTGGAAGCTGTTTGGGTCTGGTACATGATGCAAGTTTGAGTTGATTAACTGTTAGGTCACTTAACTGTTTAACTCAAGTCTGACTCTAACTCAAAGTTCATTGTTAATTTAGACAAGAGCCACATTAGGTCCAGAGTGATGGTAAACTTCATGTAGGCCTAGGTTCTAATCCAGACCTAAGTGACGACCTGAATGTCCTAAGTGTCCTAAGTGAACCTAAGTGTCCTAATCCAGATCTAAGTTTGACTTCGACTAATAAACTCGAATTAAGGTTAGTTGTTAACTTAGGAAGGAACTATATTGGGTCCAGAGTGACAGGAAACTTCATATAGGTCTAGGTCCTAATCTAGACCTAAGTGTCAACCTAAGTGTCCTAAGTATCCTAAGTAATGACCTAAGTGTCCTAAGTGTCCTAAGTAATGACCCAAGTGTCCTAAGTGTCCTAAGTATCCTAAGTAATGACCCAAGTGTCCTAAGTGTCCTAAGTAATGACCCAAGTGTCCTAAGTGTCCTAAGTGAAAGCCTAAGTGTCCTAATCCCTACCTAAGTTTAACTTCAACTAATACACCCACATACCCAGTGTAAACCTAGTGTGTCCAAACCAGTACCCAATCCACATACCTCATATATGTAGACCTAACCCAAATGTCCACAACTTTCCAATTCCCAATCTAGAACTCTGCCTTTAGATAACCTAACCCAAGTCCACATTCTAACTTCATCTAATTGAGTTAGATCAGTTGATCGACTGCCCATTTGCTGCCCAGATCGATAACCCATTTAGGCCCAACCCACATCCATTTAAGGTGCACCTACAAAAAGTGATCCTAAAAGAGTTGTTCCAATTTACAGATATTTGGAGCTGCAGAGCAGCGGTCGTAAAGACGAGCTTCGACTTCATTACGTGTCCCGTCGTGACGGGACTGTCCACGTGGAGGCGTTTCCTTTCCGACTGGCCGACGGTGCCTGGCACAGGGTCGCCCTAAGCGTAAGCGGCTCGCAGGTCGAGCTGCTCGTCGACTGTCATCCCTTGTACAGGCGGTTGCTCAGGCCTGGACCACCTGACACCAATTTCACTCTGCCTCAACTTCAGCTCTGGGTAGGACAGAGAAACGTCAGGCACTTTCTCTTCAAGGTACGTCCTCTTCCCTATCCCCTTTACCCAGTTTTATCTGGTACAGTGTCAACAGTCATTTCGAGAAGACACAATTAGTCTTGTTAAACGTCTTGGATCTTTCTTAACACGTTCAGACATGTACTGTTTTACACGTGGGACATCTACTACAGGTAGATGAGTACCTGTCTGATGACACAGCTAGGTTGATTACTGAATTAGGTTGTCAGGATGATCATAAGATAGTTAGGTTGAGATGGTCACATAATGGTTAAGTTGTTAAGATGATCACATAGCAGTTGGAGTATTAAGATGATCACAAAACAGTTAGGATGTTAAGAGGATCACCTAATAGCTAGGTTGTTAAGAGGATCACATAACAGTTAGGTTGTTAAGATGATCACAAAACAGTTAGCTTGTTAAGATGATCACAAAACAGTTAGGATGTTAAGAGGATCACCTAACAGCTAGGTTGTTAAGAGGATCACATAACAGTTAGATTGTTAAGATGATCACACATCAGTTAGGTTGTTAAGATGATCACAAAACAGTTAGGATGTTAAGAGGATCACCTAACAGCTAGGTTGTTAAGAGGATCACAAAACAGTTAGGATGTTAAAAGGCTCACATAACAGCTAGGTTGTTAAGAGGATCACATAACAGTTAGGTTGTTAAGATGATCACAAAACAGTTAGGTTATGAAGATGACCACATCATCCAAGGTTCTTCAGGTTCATAAATAATTTATGCTTTACCTAACGCACTTTCGTTTCACAGGGTGCTTTACAGGATGTGAAGTTGATACCCGGCCCTCATGGCTACCTTTCACAGTGTCCCCAACTCGATTCGTCCTGTCCCACCTGCGGTCAATTTTCTATACTACAAAACACAGTCGAGCAGCTGATGCATAACCTCAACGAACTATCACGTAGGGTGAGTACAGTCTCCACATAAACTATTCCCAAACCTCCACTTTTAGCTCACTGACATCCTTCCTTTTAGCTAGCCGCTGCAGAGGGCAGAATAAGCAAAGTGGAGGAGTGCGAGTGCCAAAAAGCGTGCAGGGCTAACGGCACGGTTCACGAGGACGGCGCCACTTGGGAGAAGGGCTGTCAACAGTGTTCATGCGTCCACGGCGAAATAGAATGCCGGCCAACGCCCTGTGCTGCTGTCACTTGCAAGAATCCCGTCATTCCTCAAGGACAATGTTGTCCGATCTGTTTGAGTAAGCTGATACTCGACTGATACTTTGCTTGTCATCTGCTTATGAGCTTAGCGGACCATCTTGGGTCTCAACCCCTTCGCTACTAGGATGACCATAACCACACGCCATAAGTTCATGTGCTGTGGGCGACTACAGTCATCCTCCTTCAGAAGGGGCACTCTTTTGGTACGGATGACTGTGGTCGCTTAGCGGGTTAGGCTGGGTTAGGTACAGTGGAAGTTTTCAAATGACTATTAACACTTTCGCTGACTGAGAGGTTCACATATTTGTGTCACCGGCTAATTTTGATAATACGTTTATGTATACAAATTATTGAAACTTGATGAGTAGAATGTGAAGAGTAAAATGGCGGCAGCGAAGGTGTTAAGATGGCCGTAGCGAACGGGTGGTAAACGACAAATGACCAAATAAATGAAATCGAACTACGTATGTGTATCACTAAAACAAAATTTCACGATGCTAATTAATTTCGAATATTGCTCGTTGTCTGCAGAACAATGTTACTTGCATGGCGTGATTTACGATCACGGCGAGAAAGTCTCGCCGAAACAGTGCGTCGAGTGCGACTGTTTCGACGGCAGTTTCACTTGCCAGAGATTTGACACGGAAACCAGATGTCCGCCATTGCCTTGTCCTCCTAGCGAACAGATCAGCGTAGCCGAGGAATGCTGCAAATTCTGTCCAGGTACGTTCATCGCTTCGTCATTAACATCCGTAGTATTACGAAGGGTCACAGTTCATTTACCGAAAGCATGTAATTCATGTCATTTATCAGAAGAACCCTATTCTGTAATTGACCCCTCACCGAATGGCAGCATGCCGACCATTTAACATGAAAGGGGTTAACTCTGCCTATATCGCTAAATCAACTACTAAATCGCTAATCCAATGTTCTATAACTGTCTCTGCATTCGCCTTGGCTAACCAAATTTAACCAGGGGTGGACTACTGCGCGAAGGGCCACAAGTGTCACGCTAATGCATCCTGCCTGAACCTGCAGACAACGTACGCCTGCCACTGCGATATCGGTTTCCAAGGGGACGGTCATAACTGTCACGGTACCTAATTGATCTCTAACTTTTTCTCTAACTGCTATTAACAACCTATGTGTCCGATCGAATCGATTGGAAACTTGACGAGTTACACGGTTGCGAATGGATGAACTTTCAACAATTTACAGTCGCAACTTTGTAACCTGAACGAGGTGTTTCAAAGCTTATACAGGGTGTTTCATTAGTGTTAACCGCCTGAAGCATGTCAATCGCTTAAATGCTGTCGCTAAGTCCAAGAGTGGATCCAGAGGTGGAGTCTGTCCCCTGACCTCTCGAGTTTGTTTGAAACCCTGTGGCCCTCAGATCCCACCTCAGAAAGTAAGTCCGCGGAACATGTGAAGTTTCAAAAGGCAACTGTCTCTAGTTCACACGAACAAAATGAAGCATCCTGTATGGCATCGTAATTAACCAACGACCGTTGCTGATCCGGTTAACCTGTTGACACCACAGACATAGACGAGTGTAAACAACAAGGTGGCTCGGAAGGTCATCACTGCAACGCTAACACAAAATGCGTGAACGTGATCGGCTCGTACACGTGCGAGTGTCTTCCGGGCTACCATAGAGTGGACAAATTCAACTGCGCCGAACTCGACGAGTGTGCGACTGGCCACCACGCGTGCGACGAACACGCGACCTGTGTGAACACCGCGGGCAGTTACTATTGCATCTGCAAGGATGGCTACACTGGCGATGGCTACACCTGCAAACGTACAGTATTCCATTTCCTCGCTTCAATTTTCGCTCTGTCGCTACTGCTAGACCTTCATGTAACAAGTCTAACATGCCTCTTCGCCTCCGCTTTCTCCAGCCGTCTGCAATCAGACCTGTCAGAACGGCGGCGAGTGCGTGGCGCCAGGAAGATGTTCCTGTCGTCGCGGTTACATAGGCAACAGTTGCGAGCTCGACCTGGATGAATGCGCCAGCGATCTCCATCGCTGTCACCAGTCGTCCACTTGTTTCAATATGCCTGGATGGTATTACTGCCGTTGCAAGCCCGGATACAGGAGCGCCCTTCACGACAGCACCCAGGGCACGCAGTGTCTCGACATCGACGAGTGCAACGATCAGACGATCGAGAGGAGACACACGTGTCACCCCAGCGCCAAGTGCGTCAACACCGAGGGTGGATACGAGTGCATGTGTCCGCCTCAGGAGGACAATCACACCGCCGAGGAGTGTAGATTGAGTAAGTACCCTCTGTCACTCTTTCTATTCATACATAATGCAACGGACGTTCTACCACAGGTTGTTGGTTCGAGAGTCGAGAGGTTAAGAATGGAGAGACCTTGGCACCGGCTGGGAATCCTTGCAGAAGATGCACCTGCAAGGACGGAGTCATCACATGCAGGGACCCCATCTGCGACTGCAGTGCCCCGGGGAGTCACAGGGACAAGTGCTGCCCGCAGTGCGATCCGGCAGCCTCGTGCAGGCACCAGGAACTCCATCACCTAGTCTTCAGGAGCGGTGAACGATGGATTTATCAGTGTCAGACTTGCGAATGCCTGGTAACGATCTTTGCCAGATCACCTTATGGTCCATAACTAGTCCATTGCATTCCATATAGGTCCGGGTACTTGAGCTAACTCTAGCTAACCTTTATATTATTTCCTACAGTCCCAGTTAGTCCCTGTAATTCCCTAGTTCACTAAAAATATGATAGTCACTCATAAAGTGATCACCAATGATCCACAACAAAGTCCATTGCCCCCAAGTTGTGACTAATGCTAAGTAATGTCCCCAAGTTGTGACACACCATATATATATGACTTCCTATTTGCAGTACGGTGAGATAGACTGCTGGCAGATGGAGTGTCCACCGGTGAGCTGTTCGAACCCCGTGACGGAGGACGGAGACTGTTGTCCGCGTTGCGAGGACGATCCCTGTGCGAGAGAGCTACCAGGAAACGGTACCTCTCTCTCGTTGCTGACTCGACCAAGGCACTTGTTTCAATATGCCTGGATGGTATTACTGCCGTTGCAAGCCCGGATACAGGAGCGCCCTTCACGACAGCACCCAGGGCACGCAGTGTCTCGACATCGACGAGTGCAACGATCAGACGATCGAGAGGAGACACACGTGTCACCCCAGCGCCAAGTGCGTCAACACCGAGGGTGGATACGAGTGCATGTGTCCGCCTCAGGAGGACAATCACACCGCCGAGGAGTGTAGATTGAGTAAGTACCCTCTGTCACTCTTTCTATTCATACATAATGCAACGGACGTTCTACCACAGGTTGTTGGTTCGAGAGTCGAGAGGTTAAGAATGGAGAGACCTTGGCACCGGCTGGGAATCCTTGCAGAAGATGCACCTGCAAGGACGGAGTCATCACATGCAGGGACCCCATCTGCGACTGCAGTGCCCCGGGGAGTCACAGGGACAAGTGCTGCCCGCAGTGCGATCCGGCAGCCTCGTGCAGGCACCAGGAACTCCATCACCTAGTCTTCAGGAGCGGTGAACGATGGATTTATCAGTGTCAGACTTGCGAATGCCTGGTAACGATCTTTGCCAGATCACCTTATGGTCCATAACTAGTCCATTGCATTCCATATAGGTCCGGGTACTTGAGCTAACTCTAGCTAACCTTTATATTATTTCCTACAGTCCCAGTTAGTCCCTGTAATTCCCTAGTTCACTAAAAATATGATAGTCACTCATAAAGTGATCACCAATGATCCACAACAAAGTCCATTGCCCCCAAGTTGTGACTAATGCTAAGTAATGTCCCCAAGTTGTGACACACCATATATATATGACTTCCTATTTGCAGTACGGTGAGATAGACTGCTGGCAGATGGAGTGTCCACCGGTGAGCTGTTCGAACCCCGTGACGGAGGACGGAGACTGTTGTCCGCGTTGCGAGGACGATCCCTGTGCGAGAGAGCTACCAGGAAACGGTACCTCTCTCTCGTTGCTGACTCGACCAAGGCCTTGCAGTTACTCCGGCATCATCCACGACAGTGGCAGCTCCTGGCAGGATCCCCATGACAAGTGCACCACGTGCGAGTGCAAGGTAAGGAGGGCGTCAGGCCTCGACGCGTCGAAGGGCCGAAGAATCGTCGGTCACACAGGATTCGGATAGGATAGGGGGGTTCGTGGGGGAAGAGAGGGGCGAAGGACGGAGAATAAACGACATTGGAATCTCATAGGATGGATTTCATTCGACATGGAATTCATTTGATCTCATAGGTAGACGTTGATGTGCTTTTCAGTTGTAATGTGACTTTGGGGCTATACAGGGCGATTCAAAAGTGGTACACCTGTGTAGAAAGTGGTGTTTGAAAGTACAGTAACTGTAGAAAGTACAGTAAGTACAGAAAGAAGAGTAACTATAGTAGTTTGAAAATAATTTTTGAAGTCTGTGCTAAGTTAGGGATGTGACTATCGTTCCAGAAGGTCGTTTATTCTCGTCGCGCTCTCTTTTCGCGCGAAATCAAGAGCTCAAGGTCAGTAAATGAAGAAACTAAGTATCGCCTTCATTTAGCCGTGAATCTGTGATGTACATATTTGAACAGTTGCGTTCACTGTGTCACGTCGAGGTGCGAGCAGTTGCTGTGCGGCAGGCGTCCATCGTGAAAAGAAACATCAGTGTACATATAATTACACGTGGCGGATCACACACTTAATCTCCCTTTCCCCGCTTTCGTTGTGACGAAACATTAACATCGCTTGCGTGTTGCATGAGCAGCATTCGTGTAACTAACGTAAACAATTGTAAATACCGTGCTATTTCAGGAAGCGACTCGAAAAATCTGTTATCGTTAATATTGAAGATACAGTCATTTTAGAGAGTGTTTACCTTCGTGACATTCTTTTTTTCGAGATAATCGATCAGTCATCACACTTATCGCAGTACGAATTGTCCGCCACGTGTAGGAAGCCACACACCACCAGCCATATGTATACCGTTGTTCTCTCGCTCTTTCTTTCTTTCTCTTTCTGTCTATCTGCCATTTGTTTACCGTGTCAGTAGGTAATCCTCGTACAATACAAGGTACCGCTGACTCTGATTTGTTTCCAGTATGCCATTTATTTTTGCGGTGTGAGTCTACATTGCAAAGCTGTTTGCGCTGAATTCTTGGTGTACGCTGGGAGAAAAATTTATTAACTTCTTTCATTATTTATTGAGTTACCATGTAGGTTTGAGTCGAAATTTCAGTTGTGGCAGAAATTAAAATGAAATCATTTCTAACCTCAAATTCACCCAAATTGCAAGTATATTTGAAGTATGATCAAACTATTTGATCAAATTTTAGGTAAACTACAGAAGGTAAATTAGGATCTGGGGCAAATTGGGTCAAGTCTAATTTGCTCTCCAAATTTATTGATTTAAATAATGCTAAATGTAATTTAGATCAAGATAGCGATGGGTCAACTTTGCATAAGCTCCTGACTTTCCATTGGCATTTAGCTCTAACCTACTCCTTAGAGTCAAAGCCTAAATAAACTATAATTTACCCAATTTCATACTAAAAATTTCAGTCTAACTTCAATGCAAAATTCAGTATAATTTATCCCTTGAAAACTTAGTACAAGGAAATAATTCTCTCAGCGTGAACAACCATTGCGTGACGCTAGTCTTGTCATAATGCGATCTAAAGCTAACATGTAAATTACTCCAAGATCTGGAGGTACTAGCGTTCAGCGACACGTTCAGGGGCGTCCCTAAGCTAGCCTTAACATCTTTTTTTTCTTAGATGTGTACTTTTCTTTTTCTTTGGGCTGCCTTGCACGCGGCAGTGTTCATATTATTTATTAGTATTTCACGTACAGTACGATTCAAAGAGATTTCGAGCTCAGCACCGTATACATATACGTACTGTTCTGCATGTTCTCTCCAACGATCAGAATAATTACACTATCGTAGAAACGAGAATCATTGTTATTATTGTCGTTATTATTGTTTATGTAGCGACGATTGGTTTGGACAATCGTACGTTTTTTTTCACCCTCGCTCACTGTATGGACCAGGTGCAATAGCTTGGACGAAAACAATACAGCTCTCGCGAAATATTTTATGTGTGTTGGTTTCTTAGACATTTTATAGTTCATTCAGTTTCATTGCTAATCCCATGGTTTATATTTAAATTGACCAAATAATAAATGTAACAAGTATACAAGAATCTATAAAAGATAACCTTAATGTATTGTAGTAGATTGTGGCGCCATCTTCTTTGACCAAAGTAGCAAATGGCGGAGCTATCTTCCCTAAGGAAATTAGTGAGCAATGAAACTTTTGTTCTTACAAAAAATTGTTGTGACAAAGAAAAAGTATTGTGACATTTTTAAAAAAAATTGCAATCTTCTTTTTTATTGCCATTTTCTATATTGTGTATAATATTGTCCTTCCTCCTACGCCGCCATTTTTCCTCAAAATCCCTAATACAGTACAGTACAATAAAGTCCCTAACATTCTGAATATAATATCATAAGAAAGGCAATCAAGTTTAACTAATTAAAAATGCAATCGAATTTAAACGGAGTCACATAAAAATGAAATATCTAAGAAACCAATACCTGAACGGAAATTAACGAGCGTCATAAATTGAACACTGCCGCGGACACGAAGAAAAGATCAGTCAGGCTCAATGTTTAAAATCTCACTGCTTCGGGTCGGCCCTGCATGGATCGTATTTCTACATACGCATTTGCCTCTAACGAAAGCGGAAGCAACTTCATGGCGTGTGACATAACCTCACTTTCGTCGATTCGGCGTCATCGTTCCAGATAAAAAATTACATCGAAAGTAATCAAAGCAAGAATCTACAATAAGCACAAGATAGTGAGCACAACTATTATTAGAATCTGGGTATAAAAGTGACATAATAACCAGAAAATGTTGTTAAAAAAATATAGAATTAATTTGTAATTACAAGTCTTATTTTAACCAAAGTGCAGTCCTAATTATAAATTCCTAAATTGCAAATACTACTAATTGTAAATGGAACGATAGATGAGAAAGGATCGACGAAAAGGGTAAAACACGAAAGAGCGAAAGTGCTGTACAAAAGATGCTGCGAAATTATTTAACCCGTCACTTACAAGCATACGTACACTCATAAGACACACAGTTACACATCTATACATGTTTACACATTGCCCGTGAACGACTAACCTGACTAGCCTAACGATGGGTATCCTTGCAGGTGCCGTACTGCGCCCAATTGGTGAGCAATAGCGCGTGTTGTGTGCATCGGTAATCACGTCACTTCTACCTCACCTATAATCTCTTCTACCCGCCTCTTCTTCTTTTTTGATTAATGTCTATCTTCTTACTGTTATTGTTTACTGTCCATGACTAAATCACGAGCTCGAGTGCTTTCTTCCTTTGCCTGCTTGGCCCGGCGCCATGAACGTAAGAACATTTGTAAAAAGATCTGATTTTCGATGTTTAGATTATAGTAGATTGATGTGGTTATATTGGAACTGAATATTATGAGTATATGAGGACTGTATGACGACTATGTGATGAGTATATGACGATTATGTGATGACTATACGGTGACTGTATGGTGACTATACATATTACGACTATATGAAGGCTATATGACGACTATATGACGATCATATGACGACTATCTGATGACTATATGGTGACTATATGACAACTATACATATTACGACTATATGACGACTATATGAAGGCTGTATGACGACTATATGACGATTATATGACGACTATCTGATGACTATATGGTGACTATATGACAACTACACATATTACGACTATATGGAGGCTACATGACGACTATATGACGATTATATGACGACTATCTGATGACTATATGGTGACTATATGACAACTGCACATATTACGACTATATGAAGGCTATATGACGACTATATGACGATCATATGACGACTATCTGATGACTATATGGTGACTATATGACAACTATACATATTACGACTATATGACGACTATATGAAGGCTGTATGACGACTATATGACGATTATATGACGACTATCTGATGACTATATGGTGACTATATGACAACTATACATATTACGACTATATGACGACTATATGAAGGCTGTATGACGACTATATGACGATTATATGACGACTATCTGATGACTATATGGTGACTATAAGACAATTATACATATTACGACTATATGACGACTATATGAAGGCTGTATGACGACTATATGACGATTATATGACGACTATCTGATGACTATATGGTGACTATAAGACAATTATACATATTACGACTATATGACGACTATATGAAGGCTGTATGACGACTATATGACGATTATATGACGACTATCTGATGACTATATGGTGACTATATGACAACTATACATATTACGACTATATGACGACTATATGAAGGCTACATGACGACTATATGACGATCATATGACGACTATCTGATGACTATATGGTGACTATAAGACAATTATACATATTACGACTATATGACGACTATATGAAGACTATATGACGATCATATGACGACTATCTGATGACTATATGGTGACTATATGACAACTACACATATTACGACTATATGACGACTATATGTCGACTATATGAAGGCTATATGACGATTATATGATGACTATATGACGACTATATGACGACTATAATCAGACCATGTCTACTGATTCTGACCACAGGTTCTTACGTCCATGAGTCAACCGGTGCTTGATTCTCTCTTCTTTTCTTTTCGTTTCACTTTATCGTTGATTTAGATTTTACATTGTAGTGCGTGTAACCTGATTCGTAGAGTCTTCGCACGCTGGTCACCGGACTATGACCCGGGATTCCCAACCTGTGGGTCGCGACACTCGACCCTATAAGTGTTTGCAATACCATTATACAATTTTATAAAAAATTTCACTGTTGCAACATTACAACAGTCTACTAGTATTTACAATATCTCATCAATTTAAGATGCATCATGATGGAGACATTATAACATTTAGAATTGTGACTGCGTAAATTAGGTTAGTTTATTAAATTAAAAGTAGCAGGTTAAAATTTAATCTGTCATTTATTTATGCTTTGCTTATTCCACTAAAAATTTAGTATAATTAAAAAATGGTTTGTAAGTTATTTATTGATAAGGAGGTCGCGATTGCACCAAAGGTTGGGAACACTGATATAAGGTGTTTGCTGTTTCTGTTGGACACTGGGTTTGCATGAGTCCTCCTTTCATGCCATTTGGGAAAAATATTTTAGTAATCTTGAAATTAACTATAAACTATCTTGTGTAAGGTTCATAGGAATTTTGGTGACAAATTCAGCTGACTACTAAATTTTTAATATTGCAATATAAAATACTCAAATTTAAAAAAATTATAAAATGCAAATATTATTTAATTTAAATAAAATTGTTATAAAACTTGTAACATAAATCCTTGAATGACTAGATTGAATCAATTAAAATCCAAAACAGAATAGAATAAAATAGAATAAAGTACAGGTCTGATATTTCAGTAAAATTAATCTACTTAATTTTTATAAATTCTCCCAAAATGGCAAGGACTCACTGTGAACCCACCCTAACAAAAACGTTAATGCCAAGGGTGAATCGCGAGCACGTCGCATGTTCATTAAAATCTTACAAAACTGTTCTTGATCGACGTATCAACGATTTTTAAATTGCATTCACATTACAATAAAAATCCACATTATAACCAGTAGTGTACCTCAAGTCCTACATAAAAAATTCAGTTTTCAATTATAATATCAACTCAGACAATTCTGCCATTCACAATTAAATTCAACAAAATCATCATGCAATATTAGATTAATTTATTTTTACATAATTTGTCCATTATGTAATTAAATTCATTTATCCACAATGTAATTAAAAGAACGTCGATCGATCGATCAAGACACCTCCATCTTGGTACTCACTGGCTGACTGCACGTTTACAAAGATTCGCATGCACCGACTCACCCCACGTTCTTCCGGCTAACTTCAAGTATACACGAGCCATTTCGTACTCGTCATCGATAACGAGATAAAACGAGACAAAGATTTCAATTTGGTATCGGTCGGGGCGCACGGCGCACGTGGTGACAGACGCACGCACACGCACACGAGCGAACACACAGATTGCATTTTGGTTCGTTTCTCTTTTATTTCGATCTTCTTTTTTATTTCAATTATGGTTTCGTTACACTTGAGCCTCTTTTGCACCCTCCTCTGATCTGCATTCGAGATTCGATAGAAGCACCAAGAGTCTCTTTCTCTCTCTATCGATTTTTTCCTTCTGCGATTCTGGCAAAAGACATCTCTCCAATTTGATTCAATTAAAAGACTTATTGAATTAAGTGTGATTTATGTGTTGATCATTGCTATTATTTGGAAGTACATCATTTTACCTTGCAGTTTAACTAGTGAATAGATCTGACGCGATACTGTGGGGATACTAACAGGGATTTTAGCGATTGAGGGACTCTAACTATAGGGATCTCGGCACGTGAGGATTTGGGTTGGAAGGACCTCAGCGCGTGAGATATCAACGCGTAGAAATTGTAATTTATAAGGAATTCCAGCGCGTAGGAATTCCAATGCGTGAGGAGTCCCAGCGCGTAGGAATTCCAGCGCGTGGGGAGTCCCAGCGCGTACTAATTCCAGTGCGTGGGGAGTCTCAGCGCGTGGGGAGTCCAACGCGTGGGGAGACCAGCGCGTGGGGAGTCTCAGCGCGTAGGAATTCCAG